TGGAGCTCACACGCCGCAACTGCGCCCGTCGGAGGAAAAGTACGTCATCGGCATCACTCCCCCGCCCTCATGGGCGACCGCGTTCCGGCGGGAGAGGAAGAGGCCGGCAGGACCAACTGGAAACGGCGGCCGTGGTGACGTAGCGGGAGAGGGGTGCGCGCCTGGAACCAAGAAGGGAAGTGACGTTAAAAGAGCGGGGCCGTCACCAGCATCAACCAGTGGAGGAGTGTTGACAACGGTGCGGCGCGGATCAGGTGAGCCTGGCCTGGCCCGGCCCGGCCCGGCCCGGCCCGTTTTCCCCCCCCACCCAGTATCGGTTGCTCCCTGAAGAGAGTTGAGGGCAATTGAGGTGCTGCCCCTGGGACCTGGGAATCGCAAGGAAGTGGGGCTAATTTGTGGCATGCTTGCCACAATGTTGCCCCCCCCCCCCCCACGCACTAACTCCCCCGTGCACTAGGCCGTTCTTCCATTCCTCATCAATCAAACACTTAGATTTATCTTCTCCAAGAACAGAGTCCTGAACTCTGATCTGGTTTTGACTTAACTGGAGTTTGAGCTAGGCAACAGTTATAGGGATTTGAATTGGCTCCGAGTATGTGATAAGTGACATTCCTTTTACAGCAAATTAGCTGAAGAAGGATTTTTCCCAAGTATGAAATACCATGTTGCCCATAACAACTCTACTGGATCCTTTACTCCGGAAGGTGCTGAATGCTTGAAAATTAATGTCCTTCCTGGGGTGGGCTTGTATTAATGCAAGCCTTGGTAATAAAAAGCTAACAATTTGTTTTGAAGATGGGACCTTCTTATCTGTTGCACAGCCCAGTGTACAGCACGTTTAACCAGTATGTCTGCATCTTGGATTTCTTTTTTTGGAAAGATACTATATACATTTCTGTGCCTCTTAAATGCATGCAAATAGCTTGTTCATGTGACATTCATTGATTTTTTTTAGGGATGGGGACGATTATTAGGGCAGAGGTTCCTGGGTTGCAGGGGGTTGGCTGCCGGATTGTGGTACTGGGCTGCGAAGGGTTGGTTGCTGGGTTGTGGCACAAGCCCCCCGCTTGGACCCCCATCTGTCCACCCAGGTCAGTGGCTTCTGGGGTTAAAGCTGGGTGGTGGGGCAGCCCTGGGAGGGAGGCAGCTGGCTCTGACTCCCATCTCGTTCCTACTGGTCCATGGCATAAAAAAAGGTTGGGAACCACTGGATTAGGGGAATGAGGATCATACCAAATCAGGAAAAACAGCTGAAGCTTCTGAGAGCAAAGAGGGATTGTTAGTCGTAGTCATGTTGGTCTAAGGACATAGGCAGGCAGGGTTCTTTGGGTAGGTGTGATATCTTTTAGTAGACTAACTAAAGAGTCACACCTACAGGCTGGGGAACTCCCTTCTCACCAGTGTTGAGACAGAAGAGGGTCTTGGAGCACTCTTTGCTGCCACAATGAACATGGCCCGACAAAGTGGGGACGCGGTCAGGAAGGCCAACCATACCTTGTTGTGCATCCACAGATGCATCTCAAGCAGGTCCGAGGAGGTGATCCTCTTCCTCTATGCAACACTGGTCAGGCCGCAGCTGGAGTACTGTGTCCAGTTCTGGGCGCTGCACTTCAGGAGGGATACGGCCAATATGGAGAGGGTCCAGAGGAGGGCCACCCGCATGATCAGGGGTCAGCAGGGCAGGCCCTATAAGGAGAGGCTGAGGGACCTGAACCTGTTCAGCCTCCAAAAGAGGAGGCTGAGAGGGGATCTAGTGGCAGTCTACAATCTAGCCAAGGGGGACCAGCAGGCATTGGGAGAGTCCCTGTTCCCCCGAGCAATTCTGGGAGTTACAAGAAACAACGGACACAAGCTACCGAGGGTAGTTTCAGGCTAGACATTAGGAGGCGCTATTTCATTGTCAGGGCAGCTAGGACCTGGAACCAACTTCCAAAAGAAGTGGTGCTGGCTCCTACCCTGGGGATCTTTAAAAGGAGGCTGGAGGAACATCTGCCCGGGGTCGTTTGACCTCAGTACTCTTTCCTGCCATGGCAGGGGGTCGGACTAGATGATCTCCTCAGGTCCCTTCCGACCCTACCAACTATGAAACTGAGTTCAGATCTAGTCTCCTCAATAGATAGGACTACATCTATCTCAGGACTGCACAATCAGGGTCAGAGTCCCGTGTGGCTGATGTGGGATATATCTCCGTCACTGAGTAATAAACCTATTGGATCCTTTCCAGACGGGCAGACCAGCCTTACTGAAAGTATAGGGTGTTTCAGGACTACAGTAACAGATTAGAGTTGTCAAAGCACACATTTTCAGTGCTTTTTCTAACTATTTCACATAGTAGTTGGGAGCTGCTGAGTAGTAGCAAAAAGCAAAGTCATTTGTGCCTTGTTAGCAAGATTACGGCCTTAATTCTTTGTACCAGCCCGCTACCTTAGAAACAGAAGGATCTAACCTTGAATCCTTAGTTGGGATTGGCTTCAATAGGAATTGGGTTTTTTTTAATGGAGATTGAGTTGACTCTGTGTAGATTTTAGAATTTGGCCCAAAGTTTTTTACCTAGTTTTGCAGGTTCTTTATTATGGGGAGGGTTGTTTTTTTGCGGGGGAAGGTGGCAGAGGGATTACTGAAATAGTTGCAGGTAGGTTAAAATATGTATTACTAATACATTTCTTCAATCTTATTGCAAGATGATGACATTGTATACAAACCTAAATTTTTTTGTGTTCAATTGTAGGTTGTTCTAAAACCCAGACCTCTTCAAAGAGAGCTTGGCTGATTCATTTGTATTTTCATTGGGAAGCCACTGTCAACTGGACATCATGAAGAAACATTTTACATAACTTAGATTGGAAATCATGGCATCTTCAGCAAGCCTAGATGTTGGGGCCCAGTTAATTGTGGATGAGTGTACCAACAGCTACAGTCTGTCGCATATGCCAGACATTAAAGTAGAGCACCAACTTGACTCTAACCCAGAGGAAGGCCCAGCTCAGGGCGTTGCCATGGGAATGAAATTTATTTTGCCCAATAGATTTGATATGAACGTCTGCTCTCGATTTGTGAAGTCTTTGAACGAAGAAGATAGTAAAAATATTCAAGACCAGGTTAACTCTGACCTCGAAGTGGCTTCTGTCTTATTCAAAGGTTGAATGAAGTTTATGGTACAAGTTGCTGTGCTTGGACAACAAATGCTCCCCCTTTCAGATTTGTTCTTTTCAGTATTTTCTTCACTTATCCCCAAGACTGTAGATCATGTAATTTTTGTTTCCTGTGATTCCAGTTGTTTTAAAATTTAAAAACCAAGGTTTAGGGGGGTGATACTATTGTTTTCCATTTGAAAGGAGAAAAATATAAATAGTTTCCATTCATGTATTCCCAAATCTCCCATTAATTACAGCAAACATATTGGGTGCATAATGCAGGCTCTATCCCACAATGAAAGCTGACTTGTAAAAATACTTTCCGTCATCTTTCTATATTTTATCAGTAATACTGTCAGCAATTATGTTTTATAACTTATTTCCGTAGCATTTTTCTTACATCTTTAACTATGTTTTATTAATGAAAAAATAATTTATCTCTTGAGTTTGCCCCCCACAGCTATTAGAAATTTTAAAGTAATTTTTAAAGAGTGAAAGTAGTAGGGCAAAGAATGGTCCTAAATAAAGGTACTGAACCTCTCATATTTTTGGAGAAAATAAAATACTTGTTTTTGCTAGCTTAGTCTCAAACTGTGCAGCATGGTCTACCTAGCCCTAAGGGGACCCATGTGTCCCTGCAGCACATGAGATCAATATCCATTTTAATGTCTGGGCTTTAAGTGTTTTTTTTTTCCCCTTCACTAATACTGATAATACAATAACATAGCTTATATAATTGATAATGGCCCCTTTAATCTTATTTATCAATTTGACACTGTTATTCTGCACATTGCTATGATTGCTTCACTGGGTCACTTTCACCTATTTCTAGAAGTGAGTATGGTTCATAGCCTCTGAGTTGTTCCCTGTAGGCAAACTTTCACACAGATGTACAATACCATTGAAGATGGCAAAAACTTATGCAGGTTTGGCTGCCCACATGAACAAATTGCAGAAATTGGAACTTATTTCTGTTTCCTCTTTATAGCTTCACCTGTAAACTTACTTCTCACTGTTTAAAAATATTTTGAAGTGTCAGTGATTGATCTTGTCATGGTTCTGAGTCAATCAGTTTTTTAATGAATACAAGCTTAGACCTCTTACAACAGGGGTGGACAAAAATATGGCCTGCAGGTCAGATGCGACCCTCCAGGCCATTCTATCCGGCCCATGAGGCCCCTAAAAAATTTAGAAAATTAATATTTATCTGCCCTGGCTGCCTGTCATGCAGCCTTCAATGGCTTGCCAAAACTCAGTAAGCGGCCCTCTGCCCAAAATAATTGCCCGCCCCTGTCGTACAGCTTTCTCTTTACTTTAACTCGTATTATTTGGCTGCAGTTCAGCCAACAGCTTAAGGCATTTAGCTGCAGCTATTTGACAAGCAAATTATAATTTTGTTTTAACTACTTTTACCCCATGGTCAAACTTTCTTTAATCAGTTCCCTTCCTGAATTTCGCGCACAGATTTCCAGCCACAGAGTTCTTTAGTGTATGAATCCAGGATTACTGCACACGTTAATTTCAAATAATTTAATTGGAAGGGCATACTAATGTCAAATTGATTTGGCCATTAATGCTTAACTTTACTGTGAGTTTCTTGCACATAAGCAGTTGGGGTTTTTTTCCATTTCCTTCAACTTGTAAGCGGTAATGCATATATCATGTACAGGGAGAACATATGCATTCTTCCATTATTGTTTACCCAGGGGAAAAGTAGGAAGGTTAGCAAAGATACTATGTAGAATGACCTTTTGAAGTCTAACTGTTGCCTAGCTGTTGTGGTATATGCAGTTTAATTTGGAAGGTCTCCATTCCTGTTAGATAAACATTCCTGAGACATTCACAATGAGGTATAATTTTGCCAAAGCAAGGGCAAAACTGCCAGCAAAGAAATATAGTACATTGTTAACTCTAGACCAGTGTTTCTCAACCTGTGGGTTGCAACCCAAAAGTGGGTGCCAAGAATATATGAAAGGATTGCAAACAAGCTTTAAAGTATATTCTCCTTGAAGGAGAAAAACATGGTAAACCATAGCTTTTCTCTTGCAGGCTATCAAGAGTTCCAGCCTGCAAGGGGCTGCTTGGGGTTCTCCATGCCCCACACCCACCCCCTGCTCCACACACTGGGCCCTTGTGGCAGCAGGTCAGAACTGAGAGGCACTGCGTTGGAACTGGCCATTGATGCTTACAAATGGGTCCTGGTACAAAAAAGGTTGAGAACCATTGCTCTAGACAATAGTTTACCTCACTTAGATGTGAGAGACAAAATGTGCATTATGGTTCATTTGTCTTTAGATGATCTAGGCTATATTCAGCATTAGGTAGCGTAACACTGATCTGAGGATGAATATGGCCTTACATTATTTCCTGCTCAGACAGTGAATACTAGAAGGGATTCACATCACAGAACATATTTAATTCATGTTTAAAATATCCCGTTACTTCAGTGCCTCCTAGGTTGCCTTAAAATCAACAGCTTTCTTTCTAGTGTTCTTACAACTACTAAAACTTTTTTTTTCTTCCTATTTGACTTAGCTGAATGCAACATCCATACTTCCCCTTCCCCGGGAATTCAAGTAAGACATGTGTACACTCCATCGACAACTAAACACTTTTCACCCATAAAACAATCAACTACCTTAACTAACAAGCATAGGGGAAATGAGGTCTCTACCACACCTCTGCTTGTAAATTGTAAGTATTCCTCTGAGGCTTAGTAAATGATTATTTTATGAATTGTAAATTAATCACTTTGTCAGATTGGTTTTGACATTTTTCATTGTGACTATTCATATATTCTTAAAACTAGAAGCATCCTGGAGTGAGCTCAATAATTTGTACTTGACCAAAGTGTATTTTCCAGAAAGGCTTCTAAGCCTTTCATTTGAAGGAGACCACAGAAGACTTTTCTCATTATTTTTAATCTCTTAAGGCAGGCATTTGATTTGAAAATAACTGTTAGGTTGTTTTTTTTCAAT